GTGAGCCAATATTTTCAGAATTTCTTGGCCACGATCGGGACGACTCATGTCCGGTCGTCTGTCGCTTACCCGCAGGGAAATGGACAAGTGGAAAATGCTAACCGGACGATATTGGAAGGTCTAAAAAAGAAGTTACACTCGGCCGGTCGTAGTTGGGCCGATGAGTTGCCATATGTCTTATGGACTTATCGGACGACCCCGAGAGAAGCTACTTTGGAGACCCCTTTCGCCCTGGTTTACGGAGCTGAAGCCCGACTCCCGATCGAGGCTTGGATCCCGACCGATCGAGAGAGAACCTACAACGCGGAGGATAACGAACACGCCATGGCTGTGGATCTCGATGCGGTCGAAGAAAAAAGAGAGCTAGCCGCTCGGCGTGTGGCCGAGTACCAGAAGCGCGTCAAGAGCTCGAAGGACGTCCGGGTCAACCCTCGTTATTTTCAAGTCGGAGATTATGTCTTACGACGAAGGGAGGCCAGTCAACCTTTAGAAGGGGGAAAGCTAGCTCAGAACTGGGAAGGGCCGTACATCATCAACGCTGTCATCCGGCCGGGAACATACCGACTAGAGACAACGACGGGTCGGCTAATACAGGGGACTTGGAATTCCGAGCACCTCGTTCTTTTTAGGCATTAGCCTATTTTTTGTACTTTTAGACGAAGTGGGGGCTGGACCTGCGAGTTAGTCCCGGTCGTCATTTCTATGTAAATGTTATGGTTGTAAAATTAGTTCAACCGCCTGTGAGCGGGAAAATTTAATGTATATACGATCGGTGATTGCTCGACCGTTTGTATGCGGCGGCACGATCGGTTATTTTCTTTCACCCTCGTCATGAGCAGATCAATTCAACATTCAATCGATCGGGCGAAGTCTGTCGACTGGTCAAAACGCGCTCCATATAGGCGGACGCTCAAGTCACGCCACCGATCGGGGATGCCAGGAGCTCTCGGCATTGTTCCTCGGTCCGTCCAACTTCTTTCCACGACTGCACCCACTCGTGCCTCGAGCGCACAATCGTGTGGGGGCTGGGATGAAGGAAGTGTTTGCAGGCCCGTCGTTCGGTTACATCCTGACCGAAGAGGCTTGCGTATTTTTCAAAACTTCGTCAAGGCCTAAGAACCGGGTAATCCCGCTCAGGTTGGCCAATTTGACGGCGAGTACTTACGGGCCCGTCGCTCGGTTATATTCCGACCGTAGGGGCTTATGGATCTTCACCATTCTCGGCAAAGGCCTCGAGATCGGGTAAACCCGGTCATGTGGCCAAGGTGACGTCGAAACCTCAAAGCTCCGATCGGGCCGTTGGGCCATAGGATCGGGTCTCGAACAAGTCAAGCTATGCAAGACCGGGCCATAAGGCCGCAAGGTCGAGCATTAAGGATCGACATTTCTACGTTATTTAAAAGGAAAAGCAAGGAAATAAAAGACGAGCGGCACGAGATAGAGCAAAAATAAAACTTTATTAAGTAGCAAAAGGTGCCCGGTACAATTCGGGACCGGGCTCCCGATCGATCGTCATTACAAAAGGGGGAGACAGCCTAGTCTACTTCTTCGCCTCCTGAGCGCTGGTGGTCGCCTCTTTTCCACTCGAGGCGGCCGCCGACGAAGCCCCCGGCTCGGTTGCCTTGGCTTTCGTGGTCGGGGTAAAGGGTGAGGGACCGGGATCTGCCACGTCCGGGGGCAAGGCCGACAAGACCAGTTGGAGATCATCGGCGTCGAGGGCCTCCTCCAACCGCTTGCGGGTGCGTTCGAGCATTTTCTGCTTCCCGGCCGTGAAGGCCCATTTCCCGAACGAGACGATCAACTCGTTCCCGACCTCGTCTCCTCGGGCTGCTGTTAGGAAGGCCGTGCCCAGCTCCTTGTTCTTGAAGGCTGCCCGCACCAGCTCGCTCGGGTTCTCGAGCTGCGCCTTCAGCTCCCTGGCCTCCCCAATCGCCCGGCTGGCGACCTTCTCGGCCAGCGCCCGCTCCTCGTCACCCTTCTTCAGGGCCTTCTGCGTTTTCTCCAGCTCGGCCTGGAGTTCCTTGATCTCCTTCAGACGGCGAGCGGCCGTCTTCTTGTGGTGATCGGCCTCCTCGGCCAGCATAGCTTGACCCTGAAGGAGTTGGGTCGCTCGGGAGATCTGCAAGGCGAAAATGGATATTCAAGATTAGCCCGATCAACGATACTTGGGCAAAGAGAGATTAAAAGTGGGGACTTACCTCAGCAAGATCGTAGCCGATCCGCTCAGCCACCTGGGTCGGGGTCATCTTCCCCAGGTCCGCTCGGGCTGGCGCGGCATTGCCGATCCGTGCCAGCACGGATGTAGGCTCCCTCTCCCGCCCGGCCGAAGGGGTCGGGCTGTGCTGTTCACGGCGGCGCTTCAGGCCGCCCACCTCGGTCGCGCCCTGGTCGGCGACCTTCTCCTTGCCCCGGGCGACCTCCACCCGAGTGACTAAAACGTCCGGCTGCTCCACGATGAAGCCCTCGCCCGTCGTCACGGTCGAGGCGCTCAGAGGTCGGGCCGATGGGATCTCCTTTTCCCCGGCCGCCTTGGTCTTGGCCTTCTTCTTCCCGCCGAGCGAGATCTTGACGGGTGGGGGAAGGGCGGTGTCTTCATCACCGAACTCGGCCATACCTGCAAAGCAAGAAAGTTAGTTAGATCGAGGTAATAAACCAGGTCGAGAGAAGTAGCTCGTGCCAAACCTTTCTTCTTTCGTTTTGACGGCTTGGCGGCCGTCACGCCCATCGGAACGGGCAGATACTTCTCCGGCAGCGTGTACGTGGGGGGCGGGAGCATGGCAGCTGCGAGACTTTCAGCCGTCCGGTAGATTGTGTATTCGTGCACCTCGCTCGAAATCCGGCTGACCGCGTCCCTCAGCGCTTGCGTCTCGGCCGGCACCACTTGCTTTCTGAAATGTGTGCTCCAGACGCGATCGACCGGGAAGATCCAGGGCTCGTACTTGAGGGAGAAAATCCTGTTTTTCCACCCCTTGTTGTTCCCGGGCAAGCCTCTAATCGAGCACATATCCGCTCGGGACTGCAGCATCAGGAAACCACCCCCGTAGCGGCTCGGGAGAACCTTGATTTGGTAGATGAAGTTAAACAACTCCATCGTGCACTCAGCCTCGTGCCGAGCGCATATCTGTGGGAAGCAGGCCAGGATCCGATGTGCGTTCGGGCAGATCTGGGCCGGGACGACTCGGTAATAGGCCAAGAAGGCGTTCAGGAGGGGGGTGAAGGGAACGGCGATCGGGGCCGTCAGGGAGTCGTAGTGCATCCCGATCCACCTGCCCCGATGCCTGTCAATTACGTTTCCCAGCTGCCGGCTCGTGTCGAATTCTGCCCGACCCCGGAGTATCTCGGCAATCCGAGCCGCCTCGCCTTTGGACAGCAGGCTCATTTCTTGCTCGACGCTTTCGCTGTTCAAGAATTCGAGCTCGACGGCTGGTGCGCCCGGCCCGGCCGGGTCTTCTTCGGCCTGTTCGGGGGTATTTTCTCGATCACCCCCTCGAAGAGCAGCTTCCGGGTGGTCCCCAACCACCCGGGTGGGCGTTTCCCTAACGCCCTCGGTTGGAGAACCTCGCCCGCTTGACGTGGTCCTTTCTTCCTCTTCTTCGCTGGAGCTCCCCGATCCGCTCGAACTTGAGCTTGACGATCCAGAGGAGCTTGATGCGTTGTCTCGCTCGGCGGCTTGCTCGGGGGCTGGCGTCGCTCGAGGGCTGGCGTCCGGGGTGTAGGACATAATGTCCACCTCCTCGTCGCTGATGTGCTCGACCTCCTCGTCGTAATCAGCAATCGAGGCGTTTTGACTGTCTGAGTCCGTCATACTGATCTACCTAAAGGTCGGTCGGAGTTAGTAGGGACTTGAGACGTCCGGGACAGTTAGTTGACCTAGCAGTTCTACCTATAAATGAGAGCCTAAAGTAAAGAGGAGGGTTGAGAGCTTACCGATTGGAGGAAGGTCGAAGTTTGAAGCTTGAAAGTTGAAGTTTGCCTGTTCGACTGCCTTACTAAGCTGCTCTGCTCGGGACTCTCTGAGGTTACCGACTGATGCGAAAGAGTGAGGAAAGTTCGAATGAGGGCCTCAAGGGCCTATTTATAGGAGGGCATTTAGGCGGGAAATGGGCCAATTTGCCTGACACGACCCGCGCTGAATCCGAGGCGACGGATGGGATCGCCAAGGCCAGCAGGGGCCGACACGTGGCGTAGGGGGGAATGACAGCTGGCCGGTCGGTCTAATGCCTGACGGTTGGGCTTCTTCATCCCGTCCCGTTTTTTCCCGACTGATCAAAAAGGCCCGGGCTGGGGGGCTCTTGGTAGGGAATATCCCGACCGACATAGCTTCACCACGACCGAGGAGTCTTTGTCTCTTTCTCCTTGCCTTTGCAGGTAACAGGTCGGGCTCCTTGAGAAGAACCCGGTCGGGAACCGACCGGGAGTTGCCCGAGCGAGGGTGTCAACCCCGAGCGGTAGTCCTTCGGCGAGAGAGCTGACTAAAGACACGTGGCGGCTCTTTACATCGACAGGCAGGGCACCCAGGAGGATGGCACGTGGTGGCTACGTGGAAGACATGCCGAGCAGCTGGGATCTTGTCTCCGGCACAGCGGCTATAAATGCCCACAGTAGCTACCGCGGAGGGGACTTTTGGACGATCGATAGGTTGTTATTAGAGAATCCCGACCGCACTCAGTCGGTACTCAGAGCAACCAAGTAGATTGTGCTTAAGAACTCTACCTTGATCAATAAAGGCTTTACCTGCTTTAAGTGGTCTTGTGTTATTTATATTGCTTACGTAGAATTAGCAGTATCATGTATATATATCATACTATATATATAGCCGCGCATCGCGCGGGTGCACCTACTAGTAGTCATTAATAGTAATACTCCTTAGATTACACTCCAAGGAATCAGTACCAAAATAAAAGCCACTAAAATTCAGCCACGTGTACACAAAAACAGAATAGGCCAAGAGCAGACCACGTTCCCCCTCCGATCATCCTTTAAAACTCGGCCTTTTGCTGCGCCTTCCACAGTTCCACACCTCCTTTCCCCGTTGTACTATTCCTTCTAGAAACACCCAAAAATAACAAACAAACAAAGAAGGTAAAGAAATGGCGTCGTTCGCAGAGGCACCGCCGGGAGACGTGAAAGCCGGGGAGAAGATCTTCAGGACCAAATGCGCTCAGTGCCACACCGTCGACAAAGGCGCCGGCCACAAACAAGGTATCTATCAATTTCTCTCCTGCTTCTTTTTAATTGTTTGTTTCTTATTTAATTATCTAATATTTTCCGTTCTCAGATCTGGTTATTGAATGTGAATTTTGCTTATGTTCGTATGGTTTCCCGATGCATTTGTTATCTATTTATTTTTGCTCTTGAGATCGCTGCTAAAGTTAAGTAGAATTGTAGATCTGTTGAACGTTTGATATATGCTCTTAGTGATACATTTTCTGGCATTGATGTGATCAATCAGTTGGGTATATGCGAGATGAGTATTTAGTCGATCAATTTGTGATGTGAGCGATAAGTCTTTACAGTTTAGGTTGGGTTGATTACATCTGTAATATCAGAACCATTTAATATTACTTCGAGCTAGTTTATGCTTAATTTCAACTTTCAAGCTTGTAAACTCTAGTTGTTCTGTTTTTGTTAGGGAGAAGGAAATTTTGATACTCTTTTACGGAGATGAATGAATTACTAGATTGATGGATTTGATGCCAACTTAAATTGTATTATTAATTATTAATTATGCTATAATTTGTTGATAGATAGATTGTGTGTGTGTGTGTAATTTATTAAAGTATAAAATATTTATTCTTTTAGCATTTAATAATAAAATAGATTGACTGAATCATTCTAGAAAAAAAAAAAATTTAATTGATTCCCATTCATGTTTTAATGCCAAACAGGCTTAAATATTTTACCAAACTCCATTGATCATATGATTTGATTCTCTTATTGGAATTTGAAAAACCAACCACTCATGTTATGTGGCCAAATAGAACTGCAAAATGCAAATAATTACTGATTGCGTAATACTGTAAACATTTTCACGTTGCCAAGTTGGCCATCAAGATGACAATATGTTATGTGTTTTTTTTTTTCTTGTTTAATGCTCTTTTATTCCTTAATTTTTTTTCAACTGTATTAGTTCTGTGCATATTCTCATTTTAATATTTCTTTTGTGATGTCTGAGCTTATTTAGATAGGCTTAGTTTTCTTGATATTTTATTAGGAGACTACTGTCTCATATTTTCTTAGGTATTTGTTGCATATATTGTAAAGTTTTGACATTTGTGAACTGATTTTGTGAAGCTTTTCTGGCTGTGTGCATAGGATACCCATAACAACGTATATTATTTTGTTTGGCTTCCTGGTGTAAGTAATGCGGTGTAGCTAACATTAATTTGGTTTTCAACAGGGCCGAATTTGAATGGTCTTTTTGGTAGGCAGTCTGGAACTACTCCTGGTTACTCCTACTCTGCTGCTAACAAGAACATGGCTGTTATTTGGCAAGAAAAGACGCTGTATGACTATTTGCTTAACCCAAAGAAGGTAATTAAACTTGTTTTATGCCATCTAATATCACAAATCCTACTTCACTGTGGTTTTTTTTTTTTTTTTTTTTTTTTTTTTTTTGAAAAACTTCACTGTGATATTTAAATACCCTAATACGAAGTATCATAATGAGATTAGTTAGGATGTTACCTCATACTCTCATACTACTATCATTATTTTTGCCGGGAGGAGGGCAGATAGTGAGATAGGATGGTTTTTCCCTTTCCCCCGTCTTCTTTGGAGTGCTTTCTTTGTTGCTTCCTATGTGTGTTACTACTTGGCTGATTGCGTGTAATTGTCTTTTGCAGTATATCCCCGGAACAAAGATGGTTTTTCCAGGATTGAAGAAGCCACAAGAGCGTGCTGACCTCATTGCATATCTTAAAGAGTCAACAGCTTAATGAATGATTTTGCCTAAGCTAAGCTAAGTTGACCAGTTACCCATTATTCTTTGTAATAAAGAGACCTTTTTCTGGTATCCTGTGCTAATTGTTTCATAGAGCTCTTGTTTTGCCTCTTTGCATGAGAGGTTTTATTGCACTTGCCAAACGTTAAAAGTTAAAAACACACATTCAATTCAATTCCAAAATAACGATGTTTTTTTAAACATCTGCGCGGTTTGATGTATTTTTGACGCGTTTAATTTTCGCCCGTCAGTGCCCTGCGAGTTTTCTTCATTCCAGATTGAGCGGAACTTTGAACTAACACTTGTGCATTTATTGCTGAGGAAAAAGGTTAAATAAGCCTTTTAACTTTATACAAAGTGTAATTGGTTATCTAAACTTTTGAAAAGAGCAATTAAACATTTCAACTTGCTATTCTGATACATTGAAACTTCAAAATTGATCCCAGATCACTTGCACGTCATTCAAAATTTGAAAATTACGACGACCATCACCGGCCTCATTTGAGTAGAAGGTGACCAATTGGAGAAGGCGACCAATGGTCGCCTTCGCCGAGAGACCACAGTGGGCCTTCTCCACTGGAGAGAGACCAACTAGTTGCGCAACCACCGGTCGCCTTCTCTGGCGGAGAAGGCGACCACAGCGAGCCTTCTCCACCGGAGAGAGCCTTCTCTGTCAGCCCTTCTTCAACGAGGGCGACTGATGCAATCACCGATCACCCATTTTTCTTTGATTGTTAGGGTCAATGTCAGTCAACGACATCTAGTGACAGTCAACGATATTCTATCTAGTGACAGTCAACGATATTCTATATACTTGTAACCTATTGATTATCAGTAAATTGAGTTTATTTGATCTATTTTATAAAGTTGGAGTATTTAATTACACCTTTTAAAAGTTTAAAAGATTAATTATACTTTTGTGTTCTAAATTGCATATTACTGACCTAGTGAAATTAGGTGATATTCCCTGCACCAAAAGTCCGGTGGACAAGAATTGGTATTCCACCCCCACAAGGCCACATAATCTTTAAACATGCAAAATTCTTATGTTTGGTAAAAAGGAATTCAAAGTTCATAAAATTCCAATTCCTTTATTCTATGGGATTACAAATCCCAACCCCCTATGGGACTTTTAAATCCACAAATTGTTGGAGAAATAGTTAAAGTGATTAAACAAAAGTATCATTTCCATGCTAAGTTAGAGTGATTGTTATTAGGACTCTATGTACTTAAGTCTGTTTATGATTCACCCAATCCGTCTATGATTTACAATTTTAGTCTCTCTATGTCTCCTCTTGTATATATACCTAGAATCTGTATTCTTGTAATTATCACTGTTAATACATTCAATAACAGTTCTCATCTGGTATTAGCTAGCTAGGATTTCTTTCCAATGATCGACAGATCTGTCAATTCCTTTGAACGAACTCTTTCTAATGCTGCTTTCTCATCGGTTGCTTCAACCGTAACCACCCTCTCCACCGCTCATCACTTTATCGGTGTCAAACTGACTTATCGGAACTTCTTATTTTGGAGGGCTCAAGTTGTTCCTTTTCTCAACGGACATGACATAATGGGTTTCATCGACGGCACAAACCCTTGTCCGTCGGCCATGATCTCGACCGGCGAGGAGGGGGCGTCACCACTGTCGAATCCCGCTCGTCTTCCGTGGGTTTGTCAAGATCAGGCGCTTCTTTCTGTGCTCATGTCATCGTTGTCTAATGAAGTTATGCCCTTGGCAATCGGGCATCACACCAGCCGTGCAGTGTGGACTGCCCTCACCCCTGCTCTCACCTCCTCGTCTCGATCTCGCTCGTTGAACCTACTTGGGCAGCTCCAGACACTTCAGCAGGGTGACGCCTCCGTTGCTGATTATATCAGCCGAGCCCAAGTTTTGATAGAGGACCTTACTCTCGCTGGCCGGCATGTTCCCCTCGAGGAGCAAAATCTATACGTCTTCCGGGGGTTGAGGCCTGAATTCCGAGGTCTTGTCTCCTCTCTCAATGTCCGGGGAACATCGGTCACGCTCCATAAGCCCTTGGATCTCCTCAGCGTCGAAGAGTTCGTCACCGGCAGTGGTGGACCAAATGCATTACCGGCGGCTTGCTGTGCACACTGCGGTTACTTGTTACAAGCGGTATGAAAATGATCCTCAGGCTAATATGGTTTATCAGGGAGCTCCTTCAGATTCCTCGCAGGACTCTCATACTTGATTCCCAGACACGGGTGCAACAAATCATGTGACTCTAGATATAGCAGCACTCTCTATCTCGGACGAGTATAATGGTAATGAGTAATGACACACTCCGTGTCTGTGATGGTACATATTTTCCTATTAGTCATATTGGTCATGCTTCTTTTCATACCCCCTCTAAGTCGTTTCATTTGTCAAATATACTTCATGTTCCCACATTATATATCTCTTTATTATCTGTTCAAAAATTTGCATATGATAATAAAGTATTCTTTGAGTTTCACCCATCTTTTTTTTTGTTGTAAAGGATACCAACACCAAGGAGATTCTTCTTCGGGGAAATAGTTCTGGTGGGTTATACACACTACCAATTTCAAGTTCGTCACCTTCCGCCAGTTCCGCGTTTCTTTTAGCTCGTGCGACTCCGTTTGTCTCGCATGATCGTTTGGGTCATCCATACCATCGTGTCCTTAGTCGAGTTCTAGTAGTACTATTCGTTGTAATTCTAGTTTATGTAATGAGTGTCAATTGGGTAAATCTGCTCATTTTCCATTGCCACGTGTTGACACTTCTAGTTCAAGCATTCTTGATTTAATATATACTGATATTTGGGGTCCAGCTCCTCTCTTGTCTTCTGATGGTTATAGATATTTTGTTCTCTTTGTCGATGACTTCTCTCGTTTTACTTGGTATTTTCCCATGAAACAAAAATCTGATCTCTATGATATTTTTGAAAAAATTTGTGCTCTTGTTGAACGACTTTTCAATCGTAAGATCAAATCTATCCAATCTGATTTAGGTGCCGAGTACAAAAAGTTACATTCCTCTCTCACAAAATTAGGGATCTATAATAGACAGTCCTGTGTTTATACTCACGAATAAAATGGTCATATAGAGCGAAAACATAGACATATTGTCGAAACTGGTCTTACTCTCATGGCTCGTGCTTCTGTTCCATCTAGGTTTTGAGATTTTGCATTTGAAACTGCAGTGTACTTAATTAACAGAATGCCATATGCTGTATTAAATCATTTCAGTCCTCATTCATTATTGCATAAATCCCCTCCATTCTATTCTTTTCTTCGTGTCTTTAGTTGTCTGTGTTATCCTCACATACGTCCCTATAATCGTCACAAAATGTCTTACTGATCCTCTCCGTGTGTCTTTCTTGGTTATCCTGGGTATTTTAGGGGGTATAGATGCATGGACTTACATACTAATAAGGTGTTCGTATGCAGGCATGTCAGGTTTGATGAGGCGATTTTTCATTTTGCTACAAAAAATTTCAGATTCACATTCTAAATTGTGGGTTGCATCTATCCGTTACCATGTGGTAACCGAGTCGACTGCCCGCGTTCAGTCCGAACCAGCACAGCCTCCTGCACCAGTTCAGACCGAACCAGCACTGTCGGCAACGCCTGAACGGACTAGCGCTACACTGCCGATAGCGCCTGTTGAGGCCGAGACAGTACAACAGGCTGTCTCGGGGCAGCCGCTGGTTCGAGGGCGTCCACGGGGCCGATATACTCGGCCGAATGTCCTCACAGATGATATGGAGATACGGAGCCAGTCTCGGGCACCACCTACAGTTCTGACAGCTCAGGTTTGCACCACTGATCCTACTTGTTACACACAGGCTGTCAAACACTTGGAATGACGTCAGGCCATGGATGAGGAATTTAATGCATTACTACAGAATCAAACTTAGAGTTTGGTTCCGTCTCAATCTAACCAGAATGTGATTGGCTGCAAATGGGTCTTTCGAACCAAGAGAAAGGCAGATGGTTTAATTGAGAGATACAAAGCCAGGTTAATAGCAAAGGGATTCAATCAGGTTCCTAGTCAAGACTTTTTTGACACATTCAACCCAGTTGTAAAACCTACCACAGTCAGGTTACTTCTTTCTTTGACTATATCTTCTGGTTGGACTGTGAGACAACTAGATGTTCATAATGCTTTTCTCAATGGTAATTTGACTGAAACTGTTTACATGCGGCAACCACATGGATACATTGATGCTCAATTTCCTAATCATGTCTATTTGTTGAAGAGATCTTTGTATGGGTTGAAACAAGCTCCAAGAGCTTGGTTTAACCGCCTTCATGCATTTTTATTGTCTGTTCGATTCCAGACATAAAAAACAAATGTGTCACTATTCTATTACTCCTAGAATTCTACTTATGTTTATCTTCTAGTTTATGTTGATGACATTCTGGTGATGGGCAGTGATCCGAATCTTGTGAGTTATTTATTGTCAAGATTATCAACTACTTTCAAGATCAGGATCTTGGTGAACTAGGTTTCTTTCTTGGTATTGAAACCATTAAATGCACTGATGGGATCCTTCTATCTTAGCAACGGTATATGCTTGATATTTTGAAACGTGTTGGTATGATTAATTGCAAACCTCTATCTACCCCAATACCTGTTTCAAAATCTCTTGCTAACTCTATAGATTTATATGATGATCCTACGCAATATCGGAGCCTGGCTAGAGCTCTTCAATATCTTACTATCAATAGACCAGATCTATCTTTTGCAGTTAATCAACTTTGTCAACATATGCATGCTCCAACCCAACAGGGTAACTCAAGTAGCAAATGAGCTATCTTTGTGGGGGAGAATTTCGTGATAACCCAAGTTCGATTCCCTTTGGGCCAATGGACGCATGACATGACCGTGTCTATCTATATTTACAAAAGCTTTAGCAGGCCCTGTCTTTTCTTTTCTTAAAGACAAGCTACAAGTCAAGGGAAAATATTAGAACTATGTATTTGAGTTCAGAATCCTATCACTATTAATACATTCAATAACAGTTCTCATCATTAGACCAAAGGCATTATAATCCTTATACTCAACTTATTCTCCAATTTTCATATTTACCAAACATTATAATTAAAATTGGAACTGATATTCCTAATAATACTATTTCCTTCCCCTCACTTCACTAATGAAGCCCGTTAAGGTTTTATATTTCATAACTCATTTGATCAACAGCTAAAATGTC